AGGACTGTGCATGTTTTTGCCCTAGAGGACCGTGCTACCTGCTGACAAGGATCACAGTAGCTAATGGTAGGGGTATCAGGTGTAGCAGGTAATTTTCCGGTGTGAGTTCGACCGCGTTGTCTGTTAGCGTGGTGACTGCTTGATGAATCTCCCTCCAGAAAGGCTGGATCTGGGGGCATGTCCACCAGATATGGTATAGCGTGCCCAATTCGGTTCCGCATCTCCATCATTCTGGTGCGCTCGTTGAGTGCATGGTCGCGAGTTTCTCAGGGGTTTTATACCAGTGTGATATCATCTTGTACCCCGATTCCTGGTATTTAGTGGGTTGTCTGTGATATAGCACAAGGGGGACATCGGGGGTGTGAGGTCTTTGTTGTCTGCTATTTTCTTCCAGACCGTTAGGGTGGCTGATATTGTGGGATGTCTCCTTTCGTGTCTCTTTATCTGTTGTGGGGGCATCCATGGTAGTGTGTGGAGTGGGAGTTGGGTGAAGCTTGCTTCTATAGCAATCCAGAGCTTATCTTCTGTCCCTAAGGTCCATTCGGTGATTCGTAGGAGGTGGATGGTTTGGTGATATTTATTAAGATCGGGGAGTCCCAGGCCCCCTTGCGGTTTGGGTTTTGTGAGGATGTCGTATTTTATTCTGGCAGTTCGATTCCGCCAGACATATCTCGTGAAAGCTGTGCGTATTTGGGCTAGGAAGGTCTGGGGGATGAAGATTGGGAGTGTTTGCATCAGGTATTGGAAGCGTGGTAGGGCGTTCATTTTGAGAACGTTCACTCTTCCCAGCCAGGTGATATGCGGTATATCCCATTCTGCTAGGTCTTTAAGTATTCGGTCAATGAGGGGGGGAAATTGTGGCTGAACATGCAGTGTGGGTCGGCAGTGAGCCATATGCCTAAATATTTTATCGCGGCTTTACACCAGTGAAACGGGTAGCGCGCTTTTAGGTTCGTGGTCAGGGTGCGTTCGCAGCCGAGGTTTAGTATCTCCGATTTTGTATAGTTGATGCTGAAATTGGAGAGGGCGTTGTAGTCCTCGAATTCTTGCATGATGGCTGGGAGTGAGGATTGTGGGTCTCGGACTGTGAACAGTAAGTCATCGGCGTAGGCCGATATTTTGCTTTCTCCCCACTGTCCTCGTATGCATTTAACGTCCGGTCTGCTGCGTACCGCATTCAGGAATGGTTCCAGGCTGAGTACAAAAAGTAGGGCCGAGAGAGGGCATCCCTGTCGGGTGCCGTTGTGTATCTGGAATGGTTTTGATAGTGTGCTCTTGACATAGACACATGCCGTCGGTTTGTTGTAGAGAGCTGCGATCAATGTCCTCATGTTAGTGCCGAACCCTAGGTGTTGTAGCGTTGCGAAGAGAAAGGTCCAGTCTAGCCTATGGAATGCTTTTTCCGTGTCGGTGGAGATTAGAAGTGCTGGTGTTGTCCCTATCCTGGCCACATACATCAGGTTGATTACTTTGGTGGTGTTGTCTCTGGCCTCTCTATTTTTAACAAATCCTACCTTGTCCAGATGTATCAGCTTCGGCAAGATGGGTTGGATGCGGAGTGCCAGGATTTTGGCGAATAGTTTCAGGTCAGCATTCAACAGGGAGATCGGTCGGTAACTTGGAGATGCTGTAGGGTCTTTGCCTTCTTCGGGTATCACTACTATGTGTGCCTTTAGGCTATTCTGGTCAAGGCTCCCTCCTTCTTTGATGGCATTTAGCATACTAAGTAAGTGTGGAGCCAATGTTTTATAGTAAGTTCTGTAGTATTTGATGGTGTAGTCATTGGGGCCCGGGCTCTTCCCATTCTTGGCTGTTTTCATTGCCAGGGCTAGTTCCTCTAGTGTTATTGGCTCTTCCAGTGTTTGAGCTGTTTCTGCGTCGATCTTGGTCGTGAAGTGTTTGGCGAGGTATGCATTTTGTCTGTTGGGTTTGGGTGCCGCTGGGTCTCCCGTCTCTTCTCCCTGGCTGCGGAGGTGGTACAGGGATTCGTAGTACAGTCGGAACCCTTCCGCTATCTCCTTTGGAGTGTGGCGGGTAGTTCCGTTGAGTTTGATTTCTGAGATAAAGCATTTTTGTCTAGCTTTCCTTAGGGCCTTCGCCAGGAGTTTGCCGCTCTTGTTGCCAAATTCATAGAAGGTCTTCTGGGCTTGTCTGTATTGGAAGGCGATCGGTTGGGAGAGGTGGGAGTTCAGTGCTGCTCTCGCCGCGACTAGTTGCGCGTAGTTGTTGTCATTGAGCGTGGCTTTGTGCTGTTTTTCCAAGTCCGCCACTTTCCACGAAAGGTTTGCTGTTTTTTTCGCGCGTTGTTTTTTGCGTTGTGCGCCATGTCGAATCAGGATGCCGCGTATCACACATTTGTGTGCTTCCCACACCTTGTCTGGAGTGGATTCTGGTGTGCTGTTTGTTCGAAAGAAGTGGTCTATGTGGGATTGTGCCTCAGTCTGGATTAGGGGGTCTTCTAACAGCAACTCGTTTAGTCTCCAGGTCCATTGTTTCTGGTATGGGGTTGGCAAGGTTATCGTGATAATGACCGGGGCATGGTCCGACCAAGACATGGGGGCTATTGTCACGGAGAGGAGGTCATCTAGGTGGTGGTGGCAGAGGAAAAAGTAGTCTATGCGTGAGTACGAATTGTGAGGTGGGGAATAGTACGTGTAATCTTTCTCTGTGTGGTGCAGGGTGCGCCAGCAATCTGACATTTGGAATTCATGCAAGGTGGCTCGCATGCCTCTGAGTACATGGTCTGGAATGGTTGAGTGGCCTGCGGATGTGTCTAGTCTCGGATCCAACGGTGTGTTAAAGTCTCCATCAAGAATTAGTATTCCGTCACTGAAGAGGTCTAGGGCTGTCAGGGTTTTCTTTAGAAAGGGTTTTTGTCCCTTGTTAGGGAGGTATAAATGGGCAAAGGTAAAGCGTGTGGCATGGATTGTACTTCGACTGAAAAAAGTATCGCCGTCCCTTTGGTTTTTGAGTCCGGGTTGGTGGCGTGGAATCTCAGCGGGAAGTGTTTGTTCGAGAACTTGGGCCACTTGTCAGTTTTGAAGTGGGTTTCCTGTAAGAACGCTATGGATACATGTAGGGCTTTCAGTTTTCTCAATGCCCTCGCTCACTTCTGTGGGGAGTTGAGTCCCTTAGCGTTGATCGTGAGGAGTTTGAAGGCCGGCTGGGGTTGCCTCCGGCGCCCAACGGAGGTGCCGGGTCGGAGGGACGCCATCCTGGCAGGGGCGGCTGTGCGGGAAGGGGAGGGCTCGGGAGATAGAAGGAAAAAAAATAAATAAATAAAAAGGGGGGGAGGGCGAAAAGCGGGAATGGCGGCTACGGGGGTCTAGTGGTCGCCCACGCGCGCCCACCAGGTCGCTTTCGTCGTTCACCGTTGGGGGCATGCGGGGGAGCTATATATGCTGTGGTTGATCTTCTGCGGTCATGAAGTGTTTGTGTAGGGTGTTGTTGGTGTCGGGAGAGTGTCGTCTCTCCTTGCCTATTGTCTGTGTGTGGGTGTGTGTTGTTCCTCTTTGGTTGCTATCTCCCTCGAAATTGAGGGTGGAGGCCATGTGGACGGCAGTAAGGGGCAGTCTGCCTCTAGGGTGTGGTCTCACGTGTAGAGCGTGTTCTCAGTGAGCCTGTCCACTGGTTTGGCAGTAAACCCGTGGGGAGGTAGGTGGCGGTTCTTTGCTCTCTAGCAAAGTTTTTTGGGTGGTTTGTTTGGTCAGATGGCAGGGTCATCCGAGCCCTGCTGCTAGAGCATTTATGTTATGTGGTAAGACCGTGGGTTATATTGCGGTGCAGTAGCGTCAACATGCAACGTACACATTCAACAAGTTTAAAACATTTGTATAACAAGTTTAAAACATTTGTATAGCTGGTTAATAGAGTAGAATTTCAACCTTATAACTTTTAGAGACATTTCATGGAGGCTGCCAGCATCAATCTCTCTGCAAAGACACTCATTATGTTTCCCCATTCCATGGTGTGAGTCATTGGGGGTGGTGTCCTGTCTGTGTGTGGGGGTGGTGTGCCTTAGTGATTACGGGTGGTGTGTCGGTGTGTGTGTGGGCGGTGTTTCCTTCTGTGGAGGTAGTGTGGTTGTGTTTATCATTGGCATGGGGGGGGCACTTTCGTGTGGGATTGGTATCGTTCTATGTGTGCGGTCCGTCGTAGTTCATCACCGGGTCTGGTCGCTTTCCATCTTTGGTTCTGTGTCCGTGGTGTGTGGATGGGGGGGGTGGAGTTATCCTGTCGTTTGTGTGTGGGTTTGAATGCGTGTCGGGTAATGGGTTCTGTTAGCGGGGAGGTGGGTTTCCTGTCCGTTTTGAGGAGTAGTAGCTTCTTGTCCGTGTCTTGTCTGGGGGTGTTGTCATCCGTGGAGTCTATGCGTGTGGGTCCCACCCCCCAGCCCTACTCCCTCCTACCCATTCCCCCCATCCTTCCCACCCATCCCCCCACCTCTCCCCCATCACCCTCAGCTCTGTGTTCTGAGCCCTAGTGTGTTAGTGCGTTAAGTGCCACGGAGTCTATGGTTCCCACTTGGGTGGTGTTAGTGGCTCTAACAATACAGTGTGGCATCACTTATTACAAGACTTGTTATATATATGACACCAGGTATTCGTGGGCTGGATCTTCTGGGTGTGTCCGTGAGGACGGTGTGGTACAGCGAGGGTAGTCTTGGTGTTCAAAAAGAGGAAAAAATAAATAAATAAATAATTTTTCACACAAAGTCTCTGTTTGTCCTTGCTCATTGTATGTTCTAGGTTCCCCGGTCAGTCTCTTCCTCAGTTGCGGCGTGTTTAGGTGTCATATGTCTTGAGGGGCGAGCAGGGTATGGGTTCCATCTTCTGAGGGGGGTGCAGGTTACGTGTGGAAGTTAGTCCACAGTAGAGTCTTTGTGGGCTTCTTTCCTTGAACCGGTTTAGTCAATGTGGGGGAGTCATGTCCGTTCTAGGGTGACACCGTGGGGTCTACTTGAGTTCTGTCGCTGGTCTGGTCTCCATTGTCTCCAGGCTTTATTCTTCGTGTGCTATTTGGTGGGGCGGGACAGTGCCCATATCCACTCTGTCTGTTCCAAGAGGGTGGGTGACTGGTCTGCCTAGGTTTCTCTCGTTGAGGGGGCAATCTATCCAGTCTCTTACCGGGGTGGTTGGTAGACCCAGCGTATCCAGGAAGATGGGGACATCTGCTGGTAGTCGTATTGTGGCCTCTATGTTGTCCTTCCTTGCTGTAAGTGCGAACGGGAAGTGCCATCGGTATCTTAAATGGTGTTCCTGAAGGATAGTTGTGACCGGTCTGAGGGCTCGGCGCGTTTGCAGGGTGAGGTGGGAGAGGTCATTGTAGAGTTCCACGTTTTGGCCTTTGTACCGCCATGTTCTTTCTGTGCGTGCTCCCTTCATGTTGTCTTCTTTCAGCTGGACGTCTTGTATATAGCAGATGACGTCTCTTGGCAGTGCTGCTGGTGGCGGTTTCGGGCGAAGAGCGCAGTGTGCTTTGTCAATATACAGGCATGCTTCAGGGGGCCTGTTCAGTATGATGTTAAAGAGTGGGGTTAGAGTCTCTCTCAGATTTTCTGAGCCTGCTGTTTCGCGTAGCCCTCTCACTCTGATGTTATTCCTGCGGCTTCTGTTGTCTAAATCTTCAACATGGAGCCGCAGGTCCATAAGCTGCCTGTCATGCTTGTGTGTTTGCTGGGGTACTGGGCCTGCAGATTCCAATGCAGTCACTCTTCCCTCCAAGTCTGACAGGAAGGTGCGCAGTGAGACTATCTCAGTTCGAGTTGATTTTACCTCCTGGACTATGGTGTGCAGGTCTTCCTTCTTTGGGAGGGAGTCATATAAGGCATACCAGTTTTGTGAGGGTCCCTCTGTGTCACGGGTGCCGGCGGTGGTGTGCAGGCTGTCTTCCCACACTGTGGATCCTGGGGAGGTAGGCGCCATGTTGGATGCCTCGTGTTGCGAGGCGAGGATCCCCGGGGTATGCAGGTAGGCGCGGATGGATGCGGATGGTCCGTCCCCCTGTGTCCTAGGTGTAGACGGGGTCATTTGTACACGTTTCGTGCGGCCCATCGGGTCTCTGGGGGTGCTGATTGTTGCGGGCTTGGGCTGCAGGGCTCGGAGCTGTGAATTTAAGCCGCCATTCTCTTTCGGTGCCAAGCCACGCCCCTGTATCCCTAGTTAAACTCATACTGCCAGGTATTATGTGTTATTCCATTTTGATAAAGTCCTGAGGTGAAACGCGTTTGTGTAACACCAGCGCTGTTACCAAGGAGCAGTTAGCCTGCTCTTTGCTTGTGAGTACTATTTTAGTTATTATATATACTGTTGTTTTTATTCAGTGAGCACAATTAGTTGTCTGTTTTTACCCTCTTTCCTGAATGTGGACCATACCCCAGACAAAAGAAACCCACAACATATCCCATAAGCGGGGATTATACCGCTGTATGCCCTTCACACAAGAGTTAGCTATAGCTCTACTAAATGTGAGTTTATTCCTGTTTATTTCATCTATATACATTTTGGACCGTTCATATTGAACTATTGGTTCTTTTTATCTGGTTTATGTCTTTCATATGAGTGGATTCATCCAGTAAAAGACATCGAGGATATTACTCCCGTTTAAGCACTTTATTCTATATTTGATCTGACTAAGATTCTTTTTATTGGACTTTTTTTTTGTGATATTTGGATTTTTTACTTATTTTATGTGTTGTGATTTTTACTTATTTTATGTTGTGATTTTCACTGCTCATTATATTTTGTTATAAGAATTGGCGCAGTCCTTACTTCTATTTTTCTCACTATCTTTGTTTCCGAAGAGTTTGGAGGGATCTCCCTTCTAAGGTTGCTGCCCATCTGTTAATTAGCGTTACTCTTTTTTTCTGTTGTTTACTATGGATTAGTAGTCTTTTAGAGGGTAAAGTCGTGTCAGATTTTTGGATTCCTTTTAGAAAGGTCTTGATTTGGTATGATGATAGGAATACCGTTTTGTTACGTTGTTGTAACAGCATGTGGTGTTGAATGCCTGTTTTTTGAGTTTGATAGTGTTAAAAGATCATTTTAACTTAAGGTGACAAAAGAAGTAAAACCCAATATGGCCTACAGAGCAAACATGTCCTGAATTTGAAAATCCACTATGAATCAAGCATGGGCATCCACAGGGGGGAGTAATGGGGGGCAATTTCCCTCCCCCCGCCCCCCCTGGATTTTTTAGCTTGTTCTGCTATTTTTCGTGAGAGTGAAAATGCACTGCAATACTGCTGTGTATGGAGAGAGACAGGGATAGGAAGCTACATCTTATCCCTGCTTCTCTTTGCTGGCTGAAACCGCAGGGGAGCAGCACATGCAGCCAGCAGAGACAGCCTACAGATCAGGTAAGTGAGGGATGGGGGGCGAGCAGCCTACAAATTAGATGAATGAGGGATGGGGGGAGGGCAGCCTACAGATCAGGGAAGTGAGGCATGGTGGGGGCAGCCTACAAATCAGGGAAGTGAGGCATGGGGGGGAGCCTATAGATCAGGGAAGTGAGGCATGGATTATTAAATATAACTTCATTAGCACTTGTATCCCTTTCTCGTCCACAACTTTATTCACCATCCAACTACTAACCTTCTAAAAACTGCAATCTCTCTCTTTTACTTTTCCTCACTGCCTTCATAACCCCACGGGCACCTACCAGGGTGATCCCGGCTGGGGTGGGTGGAGCCCGGTTAAGCACACTGCCATTTCTGATAAGGCTGCCTTATTTTCTAACTTTGGTAACCTTGTTCCATAGCGATACAGGGGGAGGCGCACACACAAGCATTTACCTCCCCCCCCTACTACAGCCTATGCCACACACATTAGTTGCCCACACTAGAACACTCAGACAGCTAACTCAGCTGAGCAGTAAGTGGTCAGGTAAGTAGAACCAGACGGACAGGAAGCCAGGAACCAGGACCACGAGGGCACAGGTAAGAACAGCAAGATGGCTGTAATGGATTATCTGGCACCCCGACTGGGTACCTCCGTTGATGGATGCTCCTAGTGCTTCCCGAGGGGTCCAAGCACTCCACTTGACTCCACGAACCGCCGCAGCTTGGTTGGGGTCTCGCCGTCTCCTACCCACCCTGGACCTACGACAAGGCTCCAGGTTCCAGTGGGTGAACCTCTCTTTCCCCAGAGAGCTAAGCAGGATCAGGAACAAGCTCTTACAATAGCTTAAGTGAAGCTAAGGGAGTATGCAGAGCATAGCAATCCCTGTAGTGATTATAGCTGTCCCCTCCAAACACGAGTCGAGGCTGCGAGTTGAAGGGTCAAGTAGAACTGGTTTAATGAGCACACAGGACTTTCTTATATACAGGTTTTCCCACAAGGTTACCACCCACGTGGACCTTGTTTTACACAGGACACAGGGTTACAACAGCCAATCAACATATTACAGTACAGTCAGACACTCCCAACTAAGGCACACAAACCCTCCCCTCTGCCTGTAATATAATTACTGAACACAATGGACTAAGCTAATTATCACAGGCAGAAAATATACAGTTTTACACAATATTCATAACTTCAAAACTATACATGCAATTTCCATAAAAGTTATATTTTCTGAACCAGCATAGTCCGTGAACAAACATATTCAAAACTCATCTGAATTGGCCCAGTGGTTCGAAAGATAGTTGGAAGTCATATTTGACCGACTGCAAGCATGGCTTTCATGCCCAAAACTGTTCCACAGATTTAGGCTGTGCAGCCGGTCTATCTTCTCCTCTATCCTGGAAATAATTGGCTTAAGTGGCTGTGGTAAGCCAATTATTTCTAAGTCCAAAATTTTTACAAAAAATACATAAAAATACATAACTCATATAATACAATGTTTAACCTATATGTCCAACATATCCCCAGATAGCGTTCAGATCCCACGAATACAGTTGGATCGCCATGGGGTTAAACAATAGCAAGGGCTGATGAGAGATTGAGGAGGGACAAAGCAGCCAGGTTCAACTGGTCTGGCAGTGTACTTGGGACAATGCCCTGCTGGAGAACAATAGGACAGGAAAAAGGGGGAGGTGAAGGGGCACATTTTCCCATGGCATTAAAGGGTCAGAAAAAGTGTTTTAAAAATCCAACATGCCCAAATAGACTTTTTCAATGGCAATACACCCAAGGGCCATAGTCACAGGGCAAAAGGGCTGGCAAGCAGGCCTCTCCAAAAGCCAGTGGCAAAGGGTAGTTTGTCACAATGGCGACTTGTGAGTGACCGGAAGTAGTCAACTCGCCAGACCAATAAAGGTAAGTGAGAGAGGATTGGAGGCCCTTATAAAGCCCAGCCTTAATATATATATATATATATATATATATTTATTTGTGGTCAGGGACAATTTATAGTAATGGTGGCGTAAGTCAGTTGTGGTGTGCCAAAACCAACAATTGGGTAGGCCTGTAAAAAGAGGGCCCACTAAAATTGAATGGCTTAATAAAGGGAGCGATGGGTTGGCTGAACCAGGCAGAATCAGCCCAGAGGAATGGGCGGCCTGTGTATTTATAGACCTGATAAACCCGTCCTACAACTTCAGCCTTTGCTACAGGTTCAGCCTTACTATTTGTGGTCAGGGACAATAAGCCGAGTTATAGTAGTGGTGGTGTAAGTTGGTTGTTGTGTGCCGAAACTGATGTTCGGGTGGGCCTGTAAAAAGAGGGCAAAAAGTTCAACAGTTGAACACTTTAATATGTGTTGACATTACGTAACCAATACTTTAAATGCCTGCCTCAATTCTTTCTCTGGTCAAGGGATGTATCTGGTGTGTGCAGATGATCACCGTGTATTGGGATATTCCACAAGAGAACGCAGAAGCAGCGTCTATTCTAAAAGAATGATCTGAAAATGTTGAAAGTTGTATCCAAGTAGTTTTATAGTGTTGTAAGGTAAGGGTGAGGTGGCAAAAGGATTTGTCAATCTTTATTTTATTGAGGTATATTTGATTAGGGGTAAAGAATAAAGAGGGGAAGACAATATTAAGTTGTACATGTTGGGAGTGTCACATTGTAATGCATATTGTCTTAGAGAGTTGTCAGCCTCTTTTTATGTGTATAAAGTAATGGTCAAACAGGTACATAACTATATTGCTAGACTATGAACATATGACTGGAACAACATTTGGAACAGTCTGATCCGTCTCAATATGATTAGCTATTGGGCAAAGCAGGTTGGTGCTGTTTGGTGAGAGCATATGGCCTCTGGGTGTTGAATAGAGTACAGTAGGTCATGTGTGCCATGTTGCCTATATCTAGTGTCCTGCCATCATTCTGGTGTATGGGACGCCCAGTTGTAGCTTTGCAGGGCTTGCCAATCTGAAAGCATGTGTTTGCGTTAACTCCCAAAAATAGTGTGTGCTATATCGGCTAGTCTATGCATATTTCACTGCTTAACACGCTAAGTGGTCACGATAAATGCGAGGCTCAATGTTTGGTATGTTTGTCAAGCATAGCATATGTTGAACATTCTAGTGTGTGCAGGTTTCAACTTTTCTTACGCTTACTTTACACAACATGACCATCAAGAGAGTTACGGTTATGAGTCCAGCGGTTTTGCCCTAGTAGGTAGGTTATGGATCGGAGAGTCCAGCGGCTTCACGCTTAATTATCCACCAACAGTCCTCAGACAGAAAGGGAAAGCAGTAAGTCCAGGGGAGCATGCATGCCAGGTAGGGGGGTTTCGTGTGACGTCTTCTTGGGCCTTTCTGATCGCGTCCTGATCGGTACTCAGCCAGTAGCTGTGGTGAGTGGGACTTTGGGGCAGCGAGATCGCGGTCAGCCGATGCCTCTAATGGGGAAGGCAGCTGTGTGGGCTGGAATAGTCCATTGGGGGGCAGAGGGGAGCGGGTTGGTATAGGCCGCCGGCCAGCCCTAGGTCGGTGTGAAGGCCAGTAGCTGCGGTCCACAGACTAGGTGTCTCTGCGAGGCCGGGTCTTCCCTTCGTCGGGCGCCATAGGAGGCCAGGGTGTTACGTCGCCGCCATCGGCGGTTAGGCCTCCTGCGATGTGGTCGGTACCGTGCAGGCTTTCTCCCTGCGGCCTTCGGCCTGGGAA